ATCGTCCTATTTCTTGGTTTACTTAGTCATTTTGATACAAGACATACAACATTTCTTTCTTGAGAAAAGGTGTATGAAATACAAATTTTATTGACCTTGCATGTTTGAAATTGCCTTCATGTACATTTTTATTTATTGGCTATTTCCATGGAAGTAGACAACTGACTTGGAAACCTCTGATCCTCTAAATTTTGAAGGCATTGATCAAATCTTAAGAAAATCCATAACTTTATGATTCTTGATTTCTTTGTGAAAACTTTTTGCTTTCCCTCCATTTTGGAAGCTTTTAAGATCTTATATTTGTTTCCATTGTTCTGAATAATAACAATGTTGTGTCTTGATGTGTGTCTAAAATGGGTGCCCTTTAAAGATATTTTAAGATTAAGAAACAAAAATAAGTTTAAAGGAGCCAAATCAGGACTGTAAGGTGAATGACTGATGATTTACCTTCGAAACTCTCACAAAATTTCCTAGTTTGATGAGAGGAATGAGCAGGTGCATTGTTATGCTGAAGAAGGACTCTCTGGTGAAGGTTTCCTGGGCACTTTTCTGCTAAAGCTTTGGCTAATTTTCTTAAAACACTCTCATAATACACAGATGCTTTCGTTCTTTGGTCCTCTAGAGAACTGATAAGGAAAATGCTCTGAGCATTCCACAAAACTGTTGCCATGACCTTTGCTCTTGACCAGTCTGCTTTTGCTTTGACTTACCACTGCCCCCTCTTGGTAGCCATTGTTTTGATTGTGCTTTGTCTTCAGGATTGTACTGGTAAAGCCACGTTTCTTCTCCTGTTACGATTCTTTGAAGAAATGCTTCAAGATAGTGTTCTCATTTGTTTAAAATATCTTTTGAAAGCTCTGCCCTTATCTGAAGCTGATATGGGCTCAATGGTTTGGGCACCGATCAAGTGCAAAGTTTTCTCAACTTTAATTTTTCAGTCCAAATTATGTAAGTTGGACCAACCAAGATGTCTATGGTGTTGGCTATTGTTTCTGCTGTTACTTATTGGCTCTCTTTAATTAGGGCATAAGCAAGGTGAATTTTTTTCTAGCAAATTGATGTGGACAATCTGCCACTGCAGGCTTCATCTTCAACATTGTCTCACCCCTTCTTACAATGAGTTATCCACTTGTAAACTGCTGATGTGGGGGTGGTATTTCTTCCATAAACTTTTTGTAGAACATCAATGATTTCACCATTCTTCCACAAAGCTTCATTATAAATTTGATGTTTGTTCTTGATTCAACTTCAGCAGAATTCGTATTGTTCTGATAGAGGTTCTTTGCAAACTAGTGTCTTATCTTTCTTAGTGCCTCAAAATAGATCCTGTTCAGACACATTCTAATAAGTTAGTAGGAGTTCATTTTGTTGCAAAAAATTAAAATCTATGCATAGCTTTTTCATAATACACACTTTCCATGAACTTTTTGAAGAGCCCTTGTACACAAAGAGGAGCATTAATTAAATCATTTCAGGAAGCTCAAGTCCTTTAGTTCTGTATAATTATTTCTTAAATTACATAAATTATGATGTCCTATTTGTACTTGGTTCCCCTTCTGAAATTTTCATTATTCAGAACCTGAGATCCTGGAATTTCTTCTTTTATTACTATATTTA